AAACAAATGACTTTCCTTCGTATCACAAACAAAACACGATTCCCAAGTAGTAATCTTCTCACAGCTCAAATGATTCTATCTAGGTAGATAAAACGGCAGACAACAATATTACCTGCAGACAAAAATACCCATAAAATTAAATGAAACGTCTTATGTAATAGACTGTTGACAATTAGCGGCATCATTCATCTCCTACAGCTCCAAGAGGTAACATGTTCTCACTGAAACTTTTATATAGCTTGTTTAGTCTTCTACATACACTATTCTCACCAGCCCTTATGAACGCCATCGCTCAAAATATTGATGTGGATATAAATTTTATGTTATACAAACGTTAAACCAATCATCAGGGCCACTAAAAACCTGTACATAGGATTTTTTCGGGGTAGGTGAAAATGCTTTCTAGCCATTCCCCCAACAAAAGAAAGCAATTAGCGTGATGCAGAAAAAAGTGCTGAATTCGTGAAATGGATATCGAATAACCTTAAATACAGACTATCAGCGAAACCAATTCACTTGTTTGGATTGTAGAAGTTAGATGATGTCGCTAAAGTTTTAGTTGATATAGGAGCAGAGCGAGAGAAAACAATAGTATCACTTTCGTGCCATTGGACCAGATCTGATAATTCCCGTTTCACTGGAAAAGACAGGCTAAGAAACTCAGACATGTTCGCGTCCGGTTGCGTCGCGGGTGCCATATGGGCACGCAAAGTTACCGTGAGTCAGCATAAGCATAAAAAGAAAAACATTTTTGGACGATTTTGATATAGACGAAATGGAGAGTAAGCACAATTTGATGCCGCGACGTCGCCAAAAATAACCGTGAAACACAGCAAGCGAGATATGACGAATAAGGCAGGAAGTGGAACTGGTTTGGCTAAGCAAACTTGGAGAAAGGGCGACATTGGATAAACTCGAACTAATTCCAGCGTCGATGCTATGACTGCGCCATGGTGCTCGCCAAACCTTACAAGCAAAAGTCTTAGGATGATATTTTTGGCCTCCATTCCCTTCCTCGCTCTCCTTTTTTTCAGCGTTACTCCCGCGAAGTCGCAGGGTTCGCTGTTTTTGTCGGCGGCCTCCATTTCCTTCTAACTGCGGCATCTTTTGCCACTACTTAAACCTCGGCCAGGTCCTTTTCTTCCACACGTCTAACCACTTCTTCTGTGGGGCTCCTTGTGGAGGTTGAGGTTGAGCTTGAACTTGAAGGTTGAGTTCCATCGTCCTCATTATTACCGCATGACACTATTGCCCCTCCTGCACATACCATCGCAGACTTTGCTCCCAATTTCAGCTAAACAGGGGCAGTTTGCGTGACCGCCGTGTCGTCTTCGTTTTTCACTGTCCAGATGGGTCCAACCGCAAACCCATCTGATCATCCTCATTTCAGCGGAGTGAAGCTGTCTTTCAACACAGAGCATTGTGAGCTTCAACAACCCTACTTTTCTTCCCGTTCGATTATGTGATTCCAATTTTCGTGTTCCACCAACTATACATGTTTATAAATTCGACTACGAAGAATTCTTACTATCTTTTTTGAGATCACCAGGGATCGATACTCGCCAGGACCAACTAAGCTTCAATTCCGCCGGGATTGGTTGCTTGGTACCAGAGACTCGTCTGGGAGGACAAAAGCACTGACTTGTACATCAGCTGGCTACAAGTTATTGTAAAGGCTGCACACGCATTCGATTCGCCACCACAATTCTGAATGGAAGCCGAATGCAGGAGCGCCTCTCTCAGAAGGAAATGTTCCACCAGAAGACTTTACCCATTACTTTAAATTTAAAGTCCAACGTGACTGATAATAACCATCGATGGCCACAATTCGCTAGTCGATTCCGCTATTTAATGCCTATTCGTTGTCGGAGTCTCAACGATGATGTTTCAGGGCCAAAAACAAGGGTTACTCAGAAAGACCCATATCAGTTCAATACAGTAAATGTGGAGAGAGCTCCCTCTCAACCACGCTTGAGATTTCTTTTAGCTCATCGTCGATTTGGAGAATGTGGTGTTTTCCATATCTGTTTTCCACTTTTGGAGCAGACATACATTCTTCTATCCCCGGCGTTCACGACGACGATTTTCGAAATTCCTACGAAGTTAAAAGTGGAAGATTCGACTTCTGCTCTCAAGAGGGGAAAGAATGTGTTAAACTTCAGGTGTCCACCGCGATCTTTCTTTGTTCCAAAAAGTCCCAGTTCTTGGAGTTCTTAAGCCATAGCTTCATGGTGCGATAGCTTTTGGCAGATCAAAAGCTATGTGACTTTTCTGTCCCGTTTCCGTAGCCTCGACTAAACTCTCTGAGCAGGACACGTATTAGCATGCGAATATCTTGAACCCACATTTAGAACATTTTGAGGAATTTGTATATTTCTGTATGCATTTTGATTTGATTACATTTTGATTACATTTGTTCCCGACCCATGGCGACAGTGGGAGGTTTTGGCATTTTTTGCTCTTTGTAGTCAACTCCTCACGCAGTTACACAGGACCTTATTTAGTCCTGGTACACCCTCCATACTACTTCCGTTTTCAGAATCTCATTTCAACTACTTTTTTGAAGCTTTGATCTACTTGAAATCCGCTAATTGTAGTGTTTTCTTCGCAGCCTCTGCACTACGCAGCGCCGTCATTTCTATTTCCTACCCAATCTAAGTACCTTGAAACCATCGCAGTCAGTGAATTCAATACGACCAATCAAGTGATGCACTTATATAAATCAGGCGTTAAACAGGGTCGAAGCTCTAGCCTAACAGAAGGATTCGACCTTCTGTGTACCTTCAAACACACCGGAACAAGTATAAATCATAGCTCTACAAAAATAATAGGTGTAGTTGATTACCTGGTAACCGCGTAAGACTATTGTTCAACTGGAAAAATCCGCGACGCAACCACACGCTACAGCAAACAAGCATAACTACCGAACGAAAATCATCAACAGCATAAAGTTGACTATATGAACATACTTTTCGCATTCTGGGAAACGGTGGCATTGAGTTCGCTCTTTCAGTGCGCTTGAAGTCAGCAGAGCATGTACGATTACCACCACTTTTACTTTTTTTGCCAGCATCACCATCTCCATCATGCCAGTGCCCATTTGTATCGCATTTCCATGATCTGAATTGTGTAAATCAGAGTGAACTGAGTATCAATTCGAAGTCTTCGTGGGAACGTCTGACCATAACGATGATGTTCGTCTGATGTCCCAAAAGATCCAGAAAGTAACCACCCCCGTCCAATGGCCATGAAGTGTTCGGCCCATCTCTTCTTCTAATCCTCAGCGTAGGCAGTAGCGACCCCAATCTTCGTTCACTGATGGGGCTCCGAAATCTCTCTCTGCGATTGCACGTTTCATTTCGGGTAAATCCTAACATTGTACTTCCCACTGCGCGTTGAATAATGCTAAATGTCCGCTCACCGTGATTGCATAATGTCTATGTGTCTCTGATGCAGGAAGAACGGAGACGGGCGGTTGAATCGGTTTTGTGTAACCGACTCGCCGCACGCGGCACTTGCGTACGACCTGCCCTCATTATTGCAGTTCTAACGTTCTTCATACAGCTCAATCGCTAGGCTATTACTAATGCTCTACTATATTATTCTGCTGTTACTTCTTTTGGTCCTGTCTTCTTACATTCTTTTCACTCCTTCGTGCGCGAAGTCGCTCTCGCTGCAACCGGCTATTCCTATTCTGCTGCACAACACCCAGAAAAGACGGCAATAACGAAGACGTGAGCGCAAACCAAGGAATGCATTGTCTTCTTCACTATACCCTCGATATTCTCAAGTGTTCTACACGCAGCACGCTTCATTCTGCTCAGCTCAGGAGCTAGGCCGTTCATCATGTTGACTTCTTGACCAAGATGCACGTAGCTAGAGCATTCAGAGATGCTCGATCCGTTCCGCTTAAGGGAGCACCATGTACCAATCCGTTTCTCATGAACATCGTCTTCGTTAAGCTCAGTCTCAAGTCGTTCTTTCAACAAGCGCATTCGAAACCGGCCAACGTTTCGTCTATTCAATATTCGGTGTTATAAGCATGATGTTCTCTGTAGAGCGGAGGTGATGTAGGTAGTGGCCGTTGACCTTCACTCCCGAGTTTCCCTATCCCAAATGATGCACGATGTTCTCAAGAGCGTTTCTGAAAAGTTTGGGGGAGATAGTATCGCCCGGCCGAACCCCACCATTAACATATAGACGACCATGCAGTCCATATGTGGACTGCACTTTCTCGGCAATGTGGGATGGTGCAGTCCACATGTGGACTGCAGTTGAATTTTTTGTCTTATCTATATTTTCATTGTCTTACAGTTTTTCTTCTCAAAACATTACATCAGGTCTAAATGAAACTACATACAGCGTAGCCCTAGAGAATCTTCTGATTTTGCAATTTTAAAGATAATAACAATAACCATAGTCATGCAATAGTAACCAAACAAAAGTCAATCAGGAAGTACAGATTTTGTATGATTTATTGAAACAATCAATGCAGAAATAACGGTGGCATTTACTGCAGCGAGAGCTTACTCTTCTTGTGTGGGGTAAAGCGTAGACGCCCGCGGGATTGGCAGAAGTTTGTATATCACTTTGAGCACCTCCTCCTCGTTTGAACTTGAGGCTCCTTCACTTTCTCTAAATTATGCCTCATTGACGTAGTAGAACTAGTAAAAGAAACGTCGGCTGTCAGAAGTGACTCAACAATCTTTTTCTTGAAGTCGTTGATTTTGATTTGCCCTGCTATGTCCTTGCACAGCTTCCACGCATTGAGGATGGCTGTTTGGATGATCAAATGAAAGATTCTCTTCCACCATTCGCACGTTTTCCTTACGACCGGGGTATACGCCGCCACTTGGTCCGACTGATCAACATAACCTTTCATAGTATTGTAGTCGTTAACCACTACTGGTTTCATGTTCTCTTCAAGGCTGGCATAGTTCTCCGTAGAAATCAAGAGGGTTTCGCGCTTGTCCTTCCACTTCAATACCATGATCCGTTTTTGGTTTTGTGAGGCGAAAATTTCACCTTTTTTCAGCTTTTTATCGTCGGATTTTTGGTAAGCCTTGACGGTTTCGTCTCAGTGTACCGATCAGGTCGGTCTTCTTTGCCAGCAGTTTTTTGGCGACACTTACATAATGAATAAAAGTTGTCCGCATATAGTGCTCTTCCCTGGTACAGGAACCCTTCCATCAGTTCGAGAACTACCGATTCTGCTAACGGCCCATTTCTGTGGGGATCTTTTCAGCATAAATTTTGATTTTCGAAGAATATCCTCCTTCCGTACCAAGTCTGAAAAGTTTGATACCATACCGGTGCTTTTTTGAAGGGATATATTGCCTGAAGTGGATTCTTCTTCTAAAGGGAACTAGTGACTCATCGATACAGACGTTTCTGCCAGCTTTATAGTACTTCATGCGTCGTAACAGCTCCAAAAAATGAAAATGAATATTTTGAAAAGATGATCCCTTATTAGCATTTTCACTGTTATCGACCAGATGCGGCAATCGTAAAAGTTCCCTGACACGTCTTGTGGTCATGATCGAGCTCACAATAGTGACCACCAAGTGCCACTTCTGAAGACCAATAGTCTCTCAATGTGAGCATTCCCACCAAGCCCATTTGAAGGCACATCCCAAAAAATTTATACATTTCTCTGTTGTCGGTTTCAGTGAAGATGTCCCCAACTGCGGCAGCTTTTGCCCAACAATTTGAAGAAATCGATTGGATCTCCACAACTGCAGACATCATCGTGTACACCGTAGTCTTCATCGAAAGTGAATCTATCGTGTTCTTCAATTTCACTTGACCAAGAATCCATACTGTCTCCATCGTCCGAGATATTGGTGTCAGATTCTGTTCCTGATGCCGAAGAAAGTGCATAAGCTACATCATCCCCATCTTCAGTCTGCTCGTCATCAGAATCAACAGTAGCTGACTAAAATGCAAGTTCTGCACACCATCATCATTAGCCATAACCTAAATTTGTAAATTCAGGTGAAATTCAAAAATCCCCGTCTAAAAATTCAAAAAAATGTNCTGGTGGACCATGCAGTCCATATGTGGACTGCATTCGCGGGCAGTTGAGTAGCGCGCCGGTCTCTCGCGGCGCTTTTCCCACAAAACGCCATGGTCATCAATGGATTAACAATAACCCTCTTACAGAATGATGAAATTTGATCGTGAAGTTATCGTAGAATCATCCTTGCATAGTGAGGTGGAACACTGGCTGCTGGAGGCTTCAATCACCGCTTCTGCCTGACAGTATCAGAGGTTTTTTTACGATTGACGTTAGAAATAACGGCTTACTGTACTCTCGCAATAGCTGCGACTGTCCTTTATCCAGAGTTCTGACAATCCTGTCAAGGTAGACTCTTGTTAAATGTTTATAGATTTTAGAGGGCAGGCAAATCAGGTCAGTGGTCGTCAGCACGTTTAGAACTTCCTTCCTATACAGCGCGCTAATTTACTACGACGTTGGCACTTTGCATTCTGAAAGGTAGAGCGTAAAGAGCCGAGCCAGTTCTTGGCGATAGTTGCCATGGATGACCTTCTTGTTTGTTCATCTAGATGTGGTTACTGTTCTGTGGGGAAGAAAGGAAGCCATTATTTCCTGCAATCGGCGCAGCTCCGGCGTGCATTTCGAATGTTCTTTCCGGTCTAGGAGGAGCTGCTGCCTTTCTCTCCATCAGATTCCTTTATCGGTTCTCTGCATAGCTTTGGAAGCTCGGACGTTAGCTGGTGATTGCCTACACTCGCGCTATTTCACTGCTGGCGTACCAGCTTGATAATGAGACCTTACTTGACCTGTAGGCTCTCTGCTTTCCTAGCTTGAAGATGTTGTGCGAGCCGGTTGTATTCCTGATCGAGGTTATCGATAAGGGAACCTTCCTGCAAACTAGCGAGAGAAGCCAAGTGCTCAATGGAGCTTCTTTTGCTCCCTCCACGCATTGTAAAACAGAATCCAGGGAAGAGCAGATGATTGGTACGATGTCGTATAAAATTTCAGAACAACAGCGACATCAGTCAGCAAAACCGTCAATTGGAAGTGATGTCACACGTTTCATTATGGAACTGTCTGCCATTTAACACCCAAGGTTATCGACGATGAAAGGGTCTTCGGAGCTGGAAGCACCACAGATGGATGGGGTGAGCCAATATGATAAACTCAGATAATTTTTCACCCTGCTTATTCTTTTCCTCTCCGTGAGTCCCTACGAACCTCCTTAGCCGTTCTTCTGGAGTTAATTTTGGCGTTGATATTACCTACGATGACCTTGAAGAAAGTGTGATCCTCCCTGTATAGCTTTCCTGGAAAACGAAGAAGAGGTATTGCAATGGTTCCTGGTGAAACCATTGCTATTCCTCATTTTTGTAGCCTTATACTGATGCGAACGTAAGGAAAACTAAAACTGAAGTGAAGCCACATCTTCTCCATCCTATACTTCCAATTCGGGTTGTCAGGCAGTAGTATTGGTGTGTCCGAAAAGTTCTGAGGAAATTCAGCTGGTTTATTCAACACCAAATATTTGCAAGAATAACGTAAGACCAGTAATCAAGATAATGTCCTTTCTTAGCCACAACATCTTTCCATCGATTGCGCAGAGCAACGACTCCATCCTCCCAGAAAGAAGAGAGGCGTGACGCGATCCATTCATCTACTGCACACTTGATTTCCTGACGTTTATGAAACTTCTTCTCTTTGAGGTAAGTGTGTAGTCTTCTGGAGACGTGGTAGCCGTAAGGGGTAAGGTCAGGTGAATATAGAGGATGGTAGTGATCCCAAGCCTTTCCAGATTCTCAGTCGTCGCACTTGCATGGTGTAGTTGAGCGTTGTTCATCAATCAGAAACTTTTCTTGCATCCGGTGTGAAATCAGGGTTCGGGACATCATCTCTCGCAGGTGCTCGCGGAATAGTTTTCAGACACGGCAGAACCTTGGGGATTATCAGATCATAGTACAGACAGCCTGCGGAGCCAGAAGAAGAACGAAATCATATCCTCATAACGAGGGCCCCACGCTTTGCACCGGCTTCTGGCTTTATGTTGAGTGGTAGCCACTGCATCTTCCTGTGTGGATTCTCCTAAGAAATCCACTTCCATCATGAGCGATAGTGGAGCTCGTCCAAGCTACCGTTCGCTTGCGGTCGAGTAGCTTCTGACAAACAACGACCCGCACCNGACGCTCGCGCTAAGTCAAGGTGTGAGGGATAACTGCAGGGAGTGCTGCGCGAAAGCGACATCTGCGTAGAATGTTGTGGGTGGTGGAACGAGGAGCAAACGTCCTCTCCCCCATTCCCCTCGGCTTTGAGAATTATTGCTTGGGACGGGGTCTGAGACAGTGTCGGTCTTGGTGGAACGTGAGCTCCGCTCCGCGGCCATCTGTCGAAGTGGAGCTCTCTTCTAGAAAAGCGAACGTACCACCTATACCAGGTGGCGAAGGAAGATGCAGTAGTGCCTATCGGTTACTGTAATTCATTCCGGACTTGAGTGCCTGATCGGCCAGAATGGTAGCAATGAAGTGGAAGGCGTCGATAGTCGTGTCGATCACTCATCGTTCGGTTGATGGTAACTTACTTCCAATAACAAAGCCAAGTATGGATCAGCCAGAGTATTGATCCTTGAATGGTACCCTTTTCCCGCATCCACTTTCATAGCCCTACTTTGGCGTATTCGCGGGCAACATATTTTAAAAGTTGAGGTGCAAAATTTTCTCAAAACTTTCCGGACACTAATACGAATTGATGCTCACCTCCACCGCCAACGTTTCTGCTCTCCCATGCTACAAGTAACAATTTTTCTATCGTCTGAAGAACGGAGAGCAGCTGTCGATGCCTTCTTGCCCCAGGCGGTTCAGTGAGCTTAATCTTTCTAGCTTGCATCATCAGATCTCAAATATACGCTTATGATGCAATCGCTGGTGCATTGAAAGTGTCGATGGCTATCTTTCCATTCTGCTTTTAGGCAAACTTTTATAGATCTGATTTCAGCAACCTCTCCTGAGCGGTCTTATCCATTGTTGCCGTATTGGGGACTCTCTTGAGTCAAGAGCGACGAGACTCATATATATGTATTAGTTTTGTAATATGAGTACACACGAACAACTTGCTAGACCCTGTTTGGAAGATGGGTATACTCCTGAGGACTTAGGCTATTCCAATTCTCACTGATAGGGGAAACCTAGCATCGCAACTCTTTATATACGGACATGCCTACGAAGATACAGAAGCCGTAAATCGAATCAGCTCAGCAGAAACAGAAGGTTCTTCTCTTGAATTCACCCACGCCCACAGACGCTAACTTTCGATCCGCGATTTATTCGCCTTTGCGACATCCAGGATCATTCCATGAAGGCTCGTCATGAATCGCAAAATATTCTTTGCCTAGAGAACCTCCGGTAAAGGAGATCCACGGAACCTCATCCGCAGAATTCGCGTGTACGCATTAGAATTGAAGTATTTGCTTTTGAGAATTCCAAACATGCAGAAAGAACTATGCCTAATATGCACAACTATCCCAATTACAGTTGACCAAGCTCCCATACGCACATTTTCCTGTAAACAAAACTACAGAATGCTAGAGTATTAGCCGAACACATACAGATTTTCCTCAACACGCCGCTTTTCTGATGCTCCACTCCGGATGCGTTCTTCCCATGTGAGTTCTCCGGGAGCTCTATTACGACGACGATTCCATTTCCTGCCCCGACGACGTCCCCGTTTCTTTTGTGGATTTGCTTCCGCATTTTCTGCAGTTTCTGAGCCATGTTCTTCGTGCAAAAATACGGTGACTACCTGCGAATAAAAATAATTAACACTCAATGAAAAGAACCTTGCCTCATCCATCATATATGCATATTGGAACCACCTTTCTTTCAGGATCCAATGACTTGCTCACCATTTCAACGAATGTTGGTTTGCGTGAAAGCGATGAGTCTTTGTTGACATTCTGACCATCAGCCTTCTGGAAAGCGCTGAGGGTTGAAATCCATTGTTTTCATCCGATTAACTACGACATAAGCAGGTTGAAACAATGGATAGCAGAGGTATTCAATATGCAACGTGTAGCTACAGCCTTACCGAAACCGTCGAACTTGACCCTATGTGAGAAATGAATTGTCAGTCTGCTCATTACGAATCAATCTTCTCAGAATCGCTTCTCAGAGCGGTATCAAAGGAATGGTTATTAAAGGCATGATAGCCAGTTCGACGGAAATATTGTGAGTTACGGTGCGGAATAGTGCAGAAGTGTCGAAAGGAGCGCAAAAGTTAAGCAAGAAGTAGTTAAAGAGGCTCCACGATATTATGACGATATGGAATGGATATTTAGACAAGTGTTGGTTGCGCACTATTGAGTCGAACTGGCTACAGTAAGCCAAAAATGCAGAGATTGCTTCCCTTTGGCCCGATTTACGGATGTTTGTTTGAATTTCACATGCGTACACTTCATCGAAGTGGAGGAAAACTAAATTTTAAGAACGCTCAGGAAAGCTGCCAATTCTCACGAAGTATTACGGTCACGCCCTGAGCGATGTGGGAACTTGGATTCGGTTATCCATTTATTGCACGTGGAGCGATTTGAGGAAGTTTTGAACCTAAATGCTCACGGTAGCCAAGCTTTTGAAAAAAAACAATCATCTTCCAAGCCTTTCATTCTGAATGCCTGATAACGATTTCTAGAAAAGAAATGTGAGCGGATTTTGAAGCGAGGCAGTGTACTGTATACGGAGCTGGAAAACACGTTTCTATTCTTTTTNTTTTTGAGAAAGATCGTAAGCGGATAAGGACATATGATGCACACGTTAGCGTGCGTACCCCACCTAGTAGACCTAGTAGTTAGTAAAGGGGTAGCGCTTTTAATGACCGTCGGCGCCCCAGCTCATTCCTAGGGATAGCTCTCCTCACCCTGGGGAGGGGAGCTTTTACAGGGGTCGCTCTTCTCTGAACTGTCGCTCTAGCGAAGATCGAAAAAACTAACACAACATGATTGTATAAAGGCTGCCGATCCTTCCCTGCATTGGCACCTTTCTGACACATAGCAACAATAGGCCATTCGAACATTCCCCTCTCTTGCAAATAAATCCTTCAGGTGTTCCTCCCTTCCCCCATCATGGGCGTTATACATACAGCCCATTATAATTTTAAACAAATATCATAGTAAACAACGAAAAACGAACATACAGGATGGCTACAAAATTGCTTGCTCTTGTAATCCACAGACACATCATCCGTCCCAGGCATCTTATCGTGTGGTCGAGTACTCGAATGCTCCCGAGCCATTTTTAAGGGACCTTTAGTTAGCTTGTTCGTGGAGATCATACTTGCCTTCTCGCCCATCTGTTCGTTTCCAGTAACCTCCACGTCCTTACTCTGGGTTTGCTTGAATGGGGAGGAGCGGAGTCTCTTATCGGCGGGCTCAACAAGTGTAGTGGCTAATGACTGCTTGAAAGGCTGATGTGTTTCACCAGCCTTTTGAGGTTTTGTGAACGAGCGCTCTTTTTCCGCTCCACCATTTCTAGTTGCCTCTCTACGACGATCTCGACCTCGGCTTCGGGTGCCTTTCGCCCCTCCTTTCACATGGCCACCGTTCCCTCTGAAATACGCATCTCTAAAACATCTTGATCAGAATGTAGAAAAAATACAGATGTTCGAAAACTCGCCTCCGTCCTTTCTTCTGAGCGTACTTTCGAACGCAGAGAGTCCAGTTCCCCCCATCCTGCACATCGTCTTCGTCATGTACCACATTACCGGAGCTTTGTACACGCCCGGCTGAACTTTTCATGTGACCCTTTAGATCTCCATCAGCCTTATCGTCAAAGTTTTTTGAACATTTGACCGTATTTTTCATTTCGCTTTTTGCATTTTCTCCAGGTCCTTTACAGATGCTTTTTCCATGTCTAGCCGAAGTCTCTTTGACTTGGTCACTTTTCTTTAGCTCTGGCCAACATTCGTCATACCATGGCGGCAGCTTCTGAAGACAATCATTTAATGTTTACAGTTAATGTCATTGAAAAAATAGAAGTCAAGCTTCACCGTAACCTTCACAACGGGTGTGATTTTAGGAACGAAGTAACTTGCTGTGGAGCGATTTTCTTGCTGTAAAGTATTCGAATCAAAACAGGACATGAAACTCTGAAGTAGTATTCAAGAGAAAAGAGAAAAGAGTAAATGTGTGAGAGAACCAATTGGATGGAAATGCAGTAGACATGTTGGCAGTATTATGGGAGGTCTGTTTTAGGGAGAATGCTCGATGCCGATGAGACCCGCTACGTGGTGCGCGGCACAGTTAACCGCGATCTCGAGAAGGGCAGGTATAGGCCGTGTAAGGGTTTTCCAATTCGAATTATTTTCCCGCGCGCGGACATTTAAGTACAGCATCGATGCTGCAGCGGTCTGCACACTTCTTATAGGAAATTTTCTTCATCCTACAGCCTAACTGCCTCATTTTCTAGATCCTCTATTTCCTACATGGAAAAACCGCGACACACCCTGATATACTTCTACTTTGCTTCCTCTACAGGCAGATCTGTGGCATCTACTTCACCCATCATTTGAAGTTATAAGTAAGCTAACATGGTCTTCCTCTCGAGTTTCACAACTGTAGTCGTGCACGCCCGGCTTTCGACAGGTTTCCAGAAAAAGACTGTATTGTTTTTCTGCACTTAGATTGAGCTCCCTCTAATTCTTCAACGCAATCGTTTTGGGAGTAACTTTATTGTTCTAGAGTTTTCCAAAATAAACTCCCCGCAAGGAGAAGGAATGAGATGGCAGTCTGTACTTTCAACGTACGATCGATTGAATCGGAAGCGTGTATCGAAGATCTGATGACGAAAGCTAGGAATACCACGTTCGACGACGTCGGACTGACCAAGACGAGTAGGCATCGCCCGCTGCATGCTGTATTTGAGATTGGAGAAGAACGGCTCTGTGGAGCATGCGACAGCAGAGGTATCAGCAGCAGCGTAGATGTCCTCGTCAATACGCACTTGGTCATGAACATCTATTCGTACGAAAGCTTGCCGGCCCGAATCGCACGTTTGCGACTAAGAAGATGCGGCTCAACCCCAGTCCTAACAATCTTTCTTGCTTACGCACCAACATCAAGCTAAGAAGAAAAGGAGATGGAAGCGTTTTATATGGATCTGGAGAAGCTCTACAGCGGAGACCATACTTTCTTCACAATCGTCGCCGGTGAATGGCAGCAGAAGTGTGGCTGAAGAGCTCCACACCGGGACTCACGGAACGAAATGGAATGAACAGGGTGAAAGACTGTCGGAGTTTATCACGCCGATCCACACTATCCATGGTAACTCGCAGTTCCGAAGCCCTCCCACTTGTGATGGACAGTTCCATGATGTATGGATCACATCATCTTCAATCGGAAGTTTCGCCTCACTGTTGTCGCTGTTTTCCGAAGCTCTGTACAGAATCGGACCACCGTCTTCTTCGCGCTAGATTATGTTCCTCATTGCGTGGAGGGAGAGCTGCGGTGTTCAAGAAACGGAACTTGGATTCGACTTTAATTGTTATCACTTCGCTTCCCTCGTTAGTCTGTGGGAAAATGGATGGGGCTAGGGAAGCAGAGGGCCTAAAAATTGACAAGCGACGTCTCTCTCCGATGACTATCGAACTGATACGTCAGCATAGAATAGCGCGAGTGCAGGCAATCACCAACTAACGTCTGGGTTTCCGAAGCTATGCAAAGAACCGATTAAAGGATATCTGTTGGAAGGAAAAGGAGTTCGTTCCGCGTGGAGACCGGGAAGAGCATTCGAAAAGGGCAGAAGCGGGAATTGAAGCCGTTAGCAGCCAGAGTTTCTTCTTATTATGTGAGGAGGCCTTATAAGTCCTACGACAACTTTACTACCAGGAATTCGCCGTTCCATGAGAGTCATTATCAACGTGAAGAGTTTGGAAGGGCGAACCATATCGCCCAAACTTTTTAGCGCCACTCTCGAGAACACTTACCTCAGCTTTACAGACGACATAGTGCTTATAACAACGAACATCGAGCAGGCCTAACGAATGCTGGCCGATTCCAATGCGCTTGTGGAAGATCGGCTTGTGACTGAACTTGACGAAGACGATGTTCACGAGAAACGGACTGATACCTGAAGCACCCTTTACGCTGAACGTATCGAGTAACCCTGGATGCTCTAGCTACGTGTATCTAATATGCCGAGAAGTCAACATGGTGAACGACCGAGCTTTGCAGCAGAGCAGAAGGAAACGCAGGGAACGGAGTGGGAAGCATTTAAGAACATCGAGGCAATAGTGAAGAAAAATGAGAGGGCAACCCGCTTCGCGCTCATCTTTCCAATACTGCTGTTTTTCTTGCTTTGAGGTAAGCCTTGGAGACTTGGATTCTACGGAAGTAGGATGAGGATGCTGTCAGCGTCATCTAAAAGATGATGCTCGAAATTTCTCTATAAGCGCAAGTGCAGAAGGGAATCCGGTGTTCTGAGCTCTGTCAACGAAAGAAGATCACGGGTTCTGTTGCTTCCGCCAATAAAGTGAGAATCAGGAGAGCCGGACAAGGTAAGGACGTCGTGATGGCCGCTGGACCATTGCGGTTACTGACTGGATCACTGGGGACGTCAAACGAACATCTGGATGTCCGCCAGCGAGATGGTCAGATTTCCTCACGAAAGCTCTATGACAGCTATGCTTCGTGTCCCCCAAGCGAGGACGAGAGCTCCAGCGGTCGACTAATGGAGAGGCGTCGCTGACGACCGCTGGAGGAAATAATTACAATCAACGGAACTTCAGGCGATAATGTTGGAGTAAATTCTATTCTTCCGACGTGTGAATAATCTATAGGAGCTTTCATTGTTTCTCATGCCTTATGTGTATATGAGCATTATCTTCGAATATGTTGAACAAATTTCTCTATGCCAGTTCTTGGTTGTATCCAATTGCCCGCGCGCGGGAAAATATGCATAGGTTATCAGAGACATCAATCAAAAAGGGCAACTGACACTGTGCACTCCATAGACACGTTTCTTTATCTAATCCATCTGATGGAGAATAAAACATACCTCTTGGCCCGAACACTGTCTTCGTGCAGTCCCAGCAATGATCTCGGCAAAAGTGGCTGGTAGAGCTTCCTTGCAATTTTCCAACATGTTTTCGGCTTCTGAAATAGTTGTCTTCATTTGATTTTTGAGCGGAAGGGGTTTATGAATTCTCATTTACAAAATAGACCGCGCGCTAGACTTAAAGAATGCACATCTAAGCGTATGTGACTCACGATGAGTGAATAATATAGCAGACACCGCTTGCAGTTTCAAACGCTACGATACAGAGCGGCATACTACAAAACCACAGACTTTTAGCCTAAATATTTTCCTCTAGTATCCCACATATAAAATAGCCAAGGCCTTTTACGGAGGTGTGGTGCAGCTGGATCGAAATTGTCGCTTCGTGGCAAGAACGGCATCGCACGCGAAGGAATGCAGTAGAATGAAGCGTTACAGCGTGTAGGAATACCGGAACAAAGGAAGTAAAGTAGAATCATGCCAAAAATATTTCGCATATCGATCAATTTGAAAGAAAAACGCTAGAAGTGCAACAACTAGACAACTGATCCGCGACTGCCGCGGGCGGTAAATCAATTACGCGAGAGCGATCTAACTGCCCGTGCCCACTTTTACGGCAAGGTGATGGCGGAACAGAGAAAACTTTACATAAACTCAACAAACATGTGAATTTAATTGACCAGAACTAATAAAAGCTTCTTTCGTACCAGCATATAGAACACACAGAGCAAAGATGACTCAGAAACTCAGAAGACATCCTGCTCTCCACATATCTGCCTTGATCTAGCAAAAGTTTACCACACAAAAATACCTTGTTGACTAAAAAAGATAAACAGATGGTAGCTGAAAACTTGTAGATTCCCACGATCACGGGACATTACACCTAGAAACAAAAAACCATATGGGGAATCTGGAACAGAACAGAATAAATCTTTGTATAAGATTTTGAAATAACAATATAATCAGCTAACAATAAGAGCGCTAACAGCAATAAATAAAAGAGCAGGTATCGTCTGAAACAACTTCGAAAAGTCATTAACTGATTCCGAAAGTTTACAGAAACGAATGTATTTGTACCCGTATTGCTACTCATGTGCATACAGATACGTACAACAAGAAAAGTATGAATTGCCTACACAATTTTGGGAAGAAGGCTTGTACTTCCATTATGGCAACCTCCGGCGATAATAAATTTTTGAAAAAAAAAACTTTCATTACTTCAGAGCCAGAGTGATCTTTTCAGTTTGTCACTACTTTGCCAACGCGGATATGTGAAGGAGATAAGGACGCATCCAGAGATCCACGACGCGTGTTATTTCAATCGTCGGCCAACCGACCGATTGCGTTGCTGGCCACGCGTTGACAATGCAAAGCATATTGCGCCCACGGCCGCGTGAGCGGAATTTAACATTGTTCAGTATTCTTAACGCGTGGCCAGCAACGCGGTCTTTCGGCCAGATCTCGGTTAGAACTACGCACGTCGTTTAATTCTGAAAGCACTCAAGGTCTTCTGGGTTTTCGCACACAGTAGGCGTGAGACCACAAGTGGAACCATTTTATTTCGCAGCTATTGACTGTAAATGTATTTTATTTCTTGTGCAATGACTGAAAATGAACTTAAGCATGTTCAAGAAATATAATTTGGCTTTTGAATTGAAGCACCTCCATTGGGCGCTTTCAGACTCTAATGGCTGCTTTCAGACTTTAACGACGCAACCGACGAGCGCGCGTCCGATCGACGGCGGCGCTACCCCCTTGTTCACAACACTGGCGCGTGAACCAATGACGTGATTAGTGTGTCAACACATAGCAAGCAACACCGTCGGTCGGACGCGCGCTCACCGTTGAAGTCTGAAAGCAGCCAATGATGAGCGTCGTTTCGCCGATCGACACAGCACCTCGGCTGAGACAACGCACGTCGCCAAAGTATAGAAGGCCCATTGTTATTTGCTTCGATAGTCTAATAAAAACGACTTCGAGGTTTGCAGGAATTACAAGAGAAAAGAAAAGCCGATCAATTCAAGCTGTAGTAACAAGTTTTTTCAGTTTTTCATGCAAGAGCGATTTCAGAAACTCCTTCAGGTTGTTGACAAGTTTAACGTGGCTCCTTTTGATTATCCAGTAAAAATAGATCGAGAAAAGACTTCAGAAATATATCTGACAAATGATGGGATTCTTCCTCACAACAAATAAAAAGGTACAGGAGCAGGGAGGCAATACACTATATTTCCAGGTGAAACGTTACGCGTAATCTGCGATATTTTGAACCCAAATAGCATCAAAATAAAAACAACTGATTAAAAGGAAAGCCTATTCACGTCTGCGCTTCAACCTACTAGAGTTTATAGAAAATTATTCCGCAGAAATAAGTGACATTAGAACCTGCTATGAAATTTCCACGCTTTGCAAAGGTGTCCAGCAAATCAAAATAACGATAGCAAAGAAAATATACTGTTTATAAAAAGTTTCATGAGATTCTTGCAATGGAAGTGGATACAACCTTCCATCACTTTTGTAAAGAGGAAAAGCGAGTATATGCTCTACCGATGTCTGCGGTACTCGCGCTTAAACCTACATCAAGAACTAGCGGCCGTGTTTTGTGAGACAACTATCTAGTTTTGCACCGCAACTATCTTCTTTTCAAGATGCTCGTTGTGGAGCCTAGACTCAGCGTCCATTCAACGAAAAGGATGTATCAGGAGTTGGAGAGATGGGGTCTGACACTACAACGAACCCTCAAAAATTGGACAGTTGAGGTGCAAAACGAGGCAACTATCAAGTGCGGAACCAGACTCGTTCGCTAATCATCAGGTGCTTTCAGAGTTCATCGACGCGCGTTGTTCGACCGCCGACATGCGATCGACCGATAGCGCTGTTGGCCACACGACAACAACGCCGCAGGAAAGATTGCGCTCAGTATCGATCGTTCTCCAGTGTCGTCAACGCATGGCTAGCAACACTATAATTGGTCGGTCGCATGTCGTTCGAAACAACGCACATCGTTGAAGTCTAAAAGCGCCGATTAAGGCATTAGTTTTAGGCGGGGAATTCGTTCACTGTAACTAAGTTCAGTAGGTAGATTACTGCGCAAAAATGTTGCGAAAGGAAACATCAGCAACTTTTACAATATGCTACATTACAAAAATGTCTTTCGCATCTTAACCAAAACACAGGCGTTGCAGTCAAAAGCTATTTCATTCTTCAACAACCCTATAAAAAGAACATTTATTTAAAAAGGAAAGCAATGATAAATCTTACCGACTTCTGCAGTTTATGTTAACCCCTTTCAGAGTAAACTTGCCGTAAAAATGAGTGCAACGGAACATAGAAAAGTTCACCGAAATTCTCGTGCGTAACAAAAATGCCTGACATTCCCTAAATAATCATAACAGGAGTAATGGGAGAAGATGCAGAACCCACTGTCATTCACCGAAATCTGTCCGGCGTAACTCGAACCGAATTAACCCACGACCCACCAAATGCTGTAATGGTACTGCACCATCCCCAAAAGAAAAACCAAACTTGAGAATGTGACCGACCTTTAACCGTAGATGTAGTCATGAAGGTTAAGTTTCTGAAATGATAATGTATCACAGAGGTTGCATTTATAGTACCAGCGTAGGCGTCTGCGAACCCTCATTGCGGTCGCATTGTCGCCGTACTATAAATGCAATCAGAGGGCGCAGACGAACGCGAGTAGAGGGCGAGCGAAACGTGGAACACGATCTGGATATCGTAATCGATATCGATTATGATATCCATACGATGCAGCACAGCTATTTCGTTATAATACCATAAAATTCAAAGAAGGGAAGGGAAAGTTGAAAGGAAGTGCCGAACATACACATAGAAAGCTATGTAAGTGAAATTAAAGCAAACGTGCACATTGGGAAAGTGAAGAGAAACATAAGAAGCAACAAAGAATAAGAAACAAACGACAGCAAGAGCAGCAGGGGATTTCAGGATGAGAACGTGTGAGCACATGTCTGCTCTTGTTATGCTTACAGGACCTCGCCCGTATGTGAGTTGCTTCAGCGATTAATCAAGAAAACTTCTTTTCCCGACTACCATTGCACTAGGACCAGGAAAATGCAACGAAACTCGCCCCAGATTTCATAAAAACACATTTTCTGAACTTGATAAATAGGTGACGAAGCGTAATGCAAGTGATAGTTGCTTCGGTTCTAGATTGCGTCATGTAATCGGTCCGACTGCGAAGCATTTGAAAAGGACTCCCATTCCTCCCAATGTAATCATTAATGGCCGTATTAACATATATAACCTCCTAGTGAAGCTTGAGAAATCAAGTCACAGTCAGCGGAAGAGACAGAGCCATGATTAATCCAACACGACCGCTCAGAAGATACCCGCTACTGAGATTTGCCTTTCAGGAAATGTCTTTTTCCAACTACATTCAGCACCATCAAATTGAGGATGCTCAAACATTCATCAAACTTCATAGCTTTAAACTCACTCATCCTCCATGATTTCTCTGATAATATAAACTTCATGAAANAAGCATAACAATGTAACATCAGTACCTTGGTCAATAGGTTGAGTCCTGAGCAACTTTCGATATCTTGAAAACCATACCACATTTCGACGACACGTTTGTGCTGCTTGTGGCAAAACGTTATGTAGCGCCCTGGGCATTTGGATCGGCGTACTACTGCCGTGGATGCATCGAAAATAGGTCATCGAGCGCGCGGCTGCCTCGGTTAGTCGTGTCAGGACCACACGTCTTTTCAAAAACTGCAGATGTGGTTCGACGCGCCAAACGGATTCGGTAAACATGTGCTTTACAAAATTCAGAACTCAATTCAGAACTCAAGAGCAATAATGATACACATACTAATCAAATTGTAACCCACCACCAATGGTTATCATGAGTAGGAGTGTGTGATAGTCCCACCACGCGACTCCTTTCGAAACATTCCTTCTGCGTGTCCCACCAAGAGACTCCTCCTGAGAGATTCACATGGATCAGGATAATCGAGAGAAGATTTCGGCATTAGTCTAGAACTGCCGTGAGGGTAACTACAGCCTCAATGGTCTTCCGAAACCACCAACTAGATCTCGACAACGTT